GATCCCAGAATCCTGCATATGGCCCCCAAATCCTGCAAATGGCCCCAGAAACAGCGAGACCCAGGGAAGACCACTCCCCCTCCCAGAGCCGTGGGGTTTGGGGACACCGCGGGGTTTGGGGACACCGCAGGGTTTGGGGACACGGGGACTCACAGAGCGAGGTGCAGCGGCACGGGTCGTGCTTGTCCAGGTAATGCTCCAGCGTGTCCCAGCCGCCCCCGACCCGCACCATGATGTGCTCCCGCAGGATCTGCAGGGGATGGGGTGCGTCATGAGACCAGGGAGGTGCATGCAGGGCATCCATGGGACTCCCCACCTCTTTTTAAGCCCCCCTGGAGGTGGCAGGCTCAGCTGGGCTTGCCCTAAGGGCCACCAGGTCTCCCAAAGGACAGCTTCATCCCCATCTCACCACTGCCTTCCTGACCAGCACATTCCATCACTCTGAGGAGTGTGAGGAGTCTTTTGGAAAGCTCCTCCAGTGCCATGTGCTGAGCCCTTTGTGAAGGCCAGGCTTAGGGACAGGGACAGAGCATCCCAGAGTTCCCATTGCTGGGTAAGACCTGGCGCTGGCTTGGCGTGGGACAGCAGATTTTGTCCCATACACATGGACAGTTGCATCCAAGCAAACACAAACCACAGGACTGAGCTTGCGTGCTTTGAGGATGATGGTTAAAAAAATCCTTGATTGGCCTCGTTTGGGGATGGGTTATGGAAGAGGCTTTGAAGGAGCAGAGCAGGATTCTTGTGTCCTAGAACCATGGTGTGCAGCAGACTCACCCGGACAAAGATGAGGGTGTCAGAGCCGCCCACGCGGTATTTCCCTTCAGATATCTTGATCATGGGGAACTGGACGTTTTTTTTTGGTCCGGACCCTGTGGGCAGCAGCAATTGGTCCTCACCAGGGATCCTGGGTGGCCGCTCCCATCCTCATCCCATTGCCCTCTTCATCCTCATCTGCAACTCCATCCCCATCCCATCCTCTTTTCCATCCCCATCCCACTCCATGCCCCTCCGTACCATCTGGTCAAGGTTGTGGAGGTCCCGTGGTTTCCGGGGGGGCCGGGGCAGGGGGGTGTCTGCAGGAGGCAGATCCATCTCCTGCCGGAGCTCCTCCTCGATCTCTTCCTCCATCTGCACCAGGGTAGGGGCGCGCACACCGAAGCGGGCAGCGCGGCGCGCCAGCTCCAGCAGGCACAGCACGAAGTTCTTCTCGTTCTTCCTCAGCACCAGGTCCTCCGTCTCGAACATCAGCACGTCTGGGGTAGGGCAGGGCCAGGCTGAGTGTGGGGATGGGGATGAAGGGGACGGGGGGGGAGTGGGCAGAGTTAAAACCCGCCCTAAGGGATGGTATTGCTTGGAGCCAGGAATACGGCTGGGTCCAACAAGGGATAAAATGGGATAAATTGACAGAGGAAGAGTCTTCCCCTTGGGCATCTACACGGTGCTATGGCTGCTTTATGGCCCCCCCCAAAGCCAGAAAACACAGTGGCTGGGTGTGAGGATGTGTCACTCCATGCCCATGCCCTTCCTGGGCACCCGCTGGTGGTGGGGACGGGGTGACAGACCCCGTCAGGACCTCTCCTGGTGTCTTTACGGCTCAGATTGTGCCGTACACAGCAGGGTCACATTGCAGCGCGCACCCTTTCCATTTCCACCCCCCAGCGCATATTTGCACCCAGACAAACCCCTCGGCTGTGCCAGCGCCCTGCAGAGCTGCTGCTGAGCATGGAGGAGCTTCTGCAAGAAATCCCAGAGCAGGATCGCGTGTGGTGGCACCGGTTTTGGGGGACACACGGGAAAGCACCCAGGGTGACACCAGAAGCAGCTGGAGAGGAATCAAACATGGGGCCACCGAGTCCAGCATCAAACACGGGGCCACGGAGCCCAGCATCTCACCTTGAATATCCATCTCCTTCCTGCACCACTGGATGAAGTTGGAGACGTTGTCCCTGGCCTGGAAGGTGCCCGGCTGTGCCGCGAGGTTGCAGGTGACACCGGCCGTGGGCAGGCGGAGGTGACGGGCCACAGCGGGGCAGGCACGGGCGAACTCCGCAGCCGTGCGGGTGACGTGGTTGGCGTGGGAGCAGAGCACGGCCCCCGTCTCCAGCGCCTCCACGAAGGTGCCCACCTGGATGTCCAGGCCGTGCAGCTCCTT